GGTCGGCCACTTCTGGTTTAGAGCAAAGATGTCAAAGTTAGCATCTGATCCTGTGTTTGACCAAAGGGCTTTCTGCTCCGTTAGGCTCTATTTGCTCTGGTTAGAAACCTTAGAGCAATAGAAATCTTACAAACCATGGTAAACAATATCTAGAAAGGTTTTTGATGCACAAATAAACGCTATAAAAAACATTTGAGTTTTCAGAGATGGAATCATTTCTTAGTATTTAATAATCCAGTTTAAGTTTGATTCTAAATTTTGATCCAGAGCTAATTTATGTTGGTACAAAGTGAATCTTGGGAAAAGAAATAAAAAGTGCATTTTTTCCTGTAACTTATGGCTTCAATAGTTATCAAAATACTGCTGGAAACTACATAGATTGTCACACCTTGCTGATTTATCCAGCGTATGCCTGACGTCCCAGAATCTCCTAAAACGCTGGCATACGCTGAACTTTCTATGTATTCTTTTCAATTTTGGGCGTATGCATAGAGTATTCATAACGAGTCCAGAACTAATGTCCAACGAGCGCATAACACACGGCAGCGTAACGCCCATGAAATTATGCATTATGAAGCATCAGTTAAAGCTGCTCCCCTCAGGAGGCGCCCAGCCTGCATAATAAGATGTCTTTGATCGCGGTATTAAACTAGCTGCGGTTTACCGCCCGCCCAAAAACAAAAGAAAGAAGGTTTGCAGTGGCAGCAGTTTCAGCGTCATGCTAGGAAGTTTGTTGGTGGTGATGGTGAACACAGGGAGGATCCATCACACTCACCTTCTGGCTCACCCTATGATGGGGATGAAGTCTGGAGGAGAACCAACGGTTTCCTCCTGTGAACCCCCTTTATACCAAAACGCTGCCAATACGCCATTATACAGTAGCTGGAAGCTAGAAACACATTCAGCGCCTGTCTGGAACACGTCAGATACGTTGATATGTGTAGATCAGTTCCTGATAAGTTACGCACAAGTTACTCAGAGGTTTGGATAAGCTAGACGCCACGACTGATGAGCAACTTGCACTCAATGTACGACAACGATCAGATAACTGACCTGGAACCAATGGCCCACGTATGGCATATGCTGACATACGTCGGACATTTTGAGCATGCTCCAAATGTATTTCTGGATGTTTGTTGACGTGCCAGCGAGCTTCAGCGTGCTCATAACTTATACAAAACGTACCAATAACTCCTCCACCCTATGCCAGCGTTTTAGCCTGATTTTTCGTACGTCAGGCAGATGCTGGTCTGAACCATCACGGTGTGACAGGAGCTTTAGTTCCTAAGATGGAAATTCTGCAGCTATTGATTATTTCACTAATTGACTGGTCTTTTTTTTTTTAGATAAAGCTGAAAAGAGATACGTAATAACAAACCCCAAAAACTAAAAAGACTTATTTTATGTTTTAGGCATTTACAATTCTTTCAAAACAACAACCCAGAAATGCCACTGGAGGGGTTCTGGATCATATTTACAAATCTAAAAGTTTTTCCTATTAAATGCAGTTAGTTTAGGGAGGTATGAATCTGCAATCCAACTGTGATAGTGACCAGAATAGGTAACTCAGGTCCGCCTCAACGCTGAGGTCTGGGCTGAAGTGAACTCTGGGCGATGCCAACAAAGACGTGATGCCAACAGTGGCATAACCAGAACATTTTCATAGGGATGGCCAGGCAGGGACCAATGTACAGAGGGGGGTCCAAAAGGTGCCAGACCCTCAGGGTCAATCTGCAGTGCTCCAATCCCTCATTTCCCAATAAAAATGAAGTAGATTTTAGTAAAAGCCTTTGCCAGTAAATAAATGTAGATATATTTAGATATCCATGCTGTCTGAACTAAAGCTGTAGAGGACGATCTTTCAGATTCTATCAGCTTTGAATTCTTTGTGGAATTTGTGGAAAATAATTCAGACTATGTCATGGCATGTCTTGGCACTGATGGTTGGCTTTTTCATCTGCTTCTGCTCATTAGTTTAATTGGCCCGGCGGCTGATCAACGCTGATCGTTTCCACCTGTTTCCATCAGCTATCTATGTTGTTTGGCTGCCTACCATCAGTGCCAGATTATTCAAGCTGTTTTTGTGAGAGTAACTTTAGTCTTCAAGTGTTTTTAATTCTGATTCTGACCTGTTTTCTGCCTCTGGATATTGCTGTTTTTGCCTTGTCCATGTCTGCTCTGTCAGTTGGGTTTTTGGCTCTCTGATCTTCTGGTCTGTCATCCTGGTTCCGATTGTACTTCGGCTCTGGAAATTCCCTCACGGATATTGTTGCATCCTTGTTTCCGGCTGGCGCCAACTCATCATCGCCCTGAGCTCTGAAGCGCAAGCGGTGGACAACCCCAAGATTCCTCCTCTCCCTCGGGGATGGGACTGAACTCTTAACCAGAGAATCCAGTTATCCGCACAGCTGACGTCTAGCCGCTCGCTTCACTTTAAATTAGAGTTTGTTTGAAAACCTTCCTGATCTGTCTGCCTGAATATTGGCTCCAAGGTCATTACAGACTATACTTTTATCATGAATTGTTCTGAATATGAAGGCCATTTATATAAACTAATACCTACATTACATGGATTCAGTTGTTATTTATCTAAAATGACATGAAGAATCTTAGATGACTGCAGATACACATAACTTTCTGTTTTCTCCCACAAAATGTTGGCAAAAGATCATGAATTCTGTATTTATCATCTCTAATGTTAGCATTATTTGATTTGAGTGATTAACTTTGTTGTCACTTTATTGTTAATAAATAAACAAGAATAAAAATTAGTTTCAACTTTCCAGTTGAGAGTATGACTGCAGCCACCCTCTGTTTAGAGGGGAAGAAGCTGTGAAATATGTCCACATGGGATCAGCTGGTAGGGGAGGAAGGGTGGCCAATGATTGGCTAAGTGTGGCCACGCCCACCCCTGGCCCCCCATTTAGCTCCGCCCCTGGATGCCAGGCGGCTCCAAAAGCTTGAATGGGCTCTATGCACAACTCCACTACATCCCAAACTGAAGGCAGCTCTTTTGTTTCCTGTCTTTCATCACTGGATCAGCTGATGAATCCAGGTGTGTCTGTCCGTGGTTACTGAGGTCAGACACACCTGGAATTCATCAGTTAATCCAGTAGAAAAAGAAAGGAAACAAAAGAGCTGCCTTAAGTTCAGGAATTGGTGCAGTTGAGCATAGAGCCCATTGTACTGGAATTGCCTAATAATCCAAATGAAGTCATTGGTATCTTGCTGGATACTTGCTGGACATTAGTGCACTCCAGACATCAGTTCAATTACGTCATGTCTCCGTGCTTCTCGCATGTCTTCGCCTCCTTTGATGCCTTGTATACAAAGACAGTCTCCATGGTGGTCTGCCTTGTTTGTCTTTCATTCTGAGGCCGTTGCTGAAATACACGCATCTGGCTAACTGGCCAACAGACACCAGAGCAATAACACTATACTATTATTAAAATAATAACTGCCTACTAATTTAGTCATCGATTGTTAACTGGGGTATAGAGACTCTGAAACATGCCTTTCACTGACAGAGCGACCCAGGAATTATATCAAAATTGTAAAAAAATGATCTAAATATTTTGTATTTAAGATGAAAAATAAACTATTCCTTATCTGTCGATTTGCTCTATTCTTATCTTCAGCTTCCACAGATTACATGTCAGATTAAATAATACTTATACTTCAGTGATGGTATCAAGGTGCTACTTTATTGTATCTCTTATTCTATATCCGTTGGTTGTTCTGTTCTTCTTTTTCCATCTCTTTGCAGGTGATGAAGCACACTGAAGATGTTTTACTGTTATCTCCCTTTTATCTCCTCTTTCTTTCATCTTTTCTCCTTTTTCCTGTTTTCCTTTCCTGTTCTACTTACATTACAGTGTCAATATAATCTGTAATACTCCCTGCATGAATTATAATAAAGTTATTTATATGCATAAATCAAGCGGAACACTATGGCGATAGCCGTACTGCTCCACATGTGAAAGCAGAATCTGAAATAAATAAATAAATAAATAAAACATGCCTTTAGCTGAAAAAATAATCTAAACATTTTGCATTTAAGATCTGTCAATGTTCTCTATCCAGAACTCTTTAAGTGAACATTTTTAGTTTCGTTTGGTTTCATTTAGTTAAAAGTCGTCTTTAAGGAGCCTGTGGCGAACCAAAAATGAACTGATTAATTGAATCAAAGAATGGACAGATTAATGGTTGTTACATTTTGGTGGAGAAGCACCAACCGTCTTTCTACAGCGGTTGTCGGTGCAACGCCACCGCAGGTAAGGGGTGAACAGGTGGGTGAAAAGGTTTGTTTCACTTTGACAAAGTGCTTTGTGAAAATGTTGAAGTTTTGGTTCAATTGATTCGAGTCCAGCGGACTATCAGGAGTAAAAACCACCTTAGTTTGTTTACTCCAGTTAATGACTATTTAATGACTTCATTAAGTGATAATTAGCTGCATTAAAGGATTTCAATCATTGATTAAGCTGATAAACTTCAAAACCAAACAATATTATAAGAATAAAACCATAAATAATATAAAGGCTGAAATGGCTTTAGAAAGCAGAGCTTAATGGATTAATGGTAAAACTTTCTCCTCTAACATATTAATATCTCATCTTCATTACTGAATAAATTAGGAATATATTTGATTGAAACTAAATCAAAGTTCCCTTTACTTTAATTCATCTTTTCTCCATCTTGTAGAAACTGTTTAAATAATGGCGGCTCCAAACATTGCCTCTTATTGAGCTTTAAAGCTTTTCTTTTAGAAAATGTTGACATTTACTGTTTGTAGATGAATTAGTGAAACAGTTTCTGGCCCCAAAGCAGTCCAGCCATGAAATCAGCGGAATAGCCCTTTAACCTGTTAGCTGCTGGAGCTAACAACTCAGCTGCTATTAATAGAAGAAGAAAAACCTGGATTTTCTGTCATTGCTTTACTTTCTGAGTGTGAATTAGTTCAGAAAGTAATACTTAGATGAATACTAGCCGCATTAACCTACCGATTCTGTGGAGTTTTATCTGCGGGTTCCAGCAGGTTTCCATCAGTCTGATGTCTTCCTCGTGGCGGATGATGTTTTTTTCAACCTCTGTGAAGATTTCTTCAGCAGCAGCAGTTAGTCGCTCTCGGATAAACTCCCTGAGACGCTGAACTGAAGACATTTTTACAGAAACTACTAAAGTATAATAAGTTTTAAGTCCAAACAAGCTGCTGCTGGCGCTGTTAATTTCACCTCTGCTGCTCCTCGCGCGAGTCTGAAAAAACCACGGTGATTGGTAGATTTACCGCCCCCTGCTGGAGAAAAAGGACAAACATCTAAAACTATTAAACAGCTTGGAGGCTCACATACATGCGGGGAAATGTAGGCAATATTTAAAAAGAAAAAAATGAAGCAGATTTATAAATGTAGTGTGTATATAAAGTGCAGACAGTGAGATTCCAGTCCATGAAATGGGCTGATGGTCCTGTGTGTGTATCTATGCAGGAATGGGGGGGAAATGATTATTTCTGCACACATTTTGGGAATGAATTTATTTTATGCCCAAACAAGCATTGGGTTAATTTCACTTAAACAATGAAGAGTAGAAATATACTGTAATGCTTCCCTCAGGTTTCTCTGTAAGATAGCTTCTAATTGTAAGTTTTGCGTATAAGCTACTCTGACTTTCCAAAAAAAGTTTAAAACAAACCAGTTTACTGTGTTTTCCAAGTTTAAAGTCATTTTTAACTTTTTTTCTGGAATGACCTGAATATTCACCAGCATACTCTGACTTTAAGCTAATAAAAAATTCAGCAAAGTCAGAACAACAAAAACAGGGTGTTTTTTGTTTGTTTTATACTTTATATTTGGAACCTGTGAGTCAAAAGCTGGTATAGGTTTGTTTGATGCAGCATTAGTGGTTTAAAATGAATGACTAGTTAATTACAAGCAAAGGCTTGGATTTAAACTGGTATAAATCAAGTATATTTTCACACATTGATAATGTCTCTATAATAAATATGAATTCAGAATCCTATAAAATGAATAGGAAAATATTTACAGGACACAGTTTATAGATGCATTTGTTTCTGAAATTCAACCACAAATCTATTTATATGATATGATAAATTCCCATGCCTTAAATTAAACTTGATATTTTATTATTTTAATATTTAATAAGTTGGTGTTTTCTACTTTGGGGCCGCTGCTAAAGAGAAAAGAAAAGGCTAAGGAGATGTTAGTGAAGTTAGGTATACGTCATCCTGGCTGCCCTATAGAATATGTTTAGCTAAGCTTATAGAACAACTGGATATGAAGTCAATTCAGGATTTAATATATTCATCATTTCACCTTGTTTACCAGCCTTTTTTTTTTTTTTTTTTTTTTTTTTTTTCAATCTAGGAAAAGAAAACATAACCAAAAACATAGCACATCCTGCAGGCCCAACATATTTTAAAACTGAATAATCTCATTTTGTTTAAAAAGTTGCTTTTGACAAGGAAAAAATGTATTTCAGACATCAAAAATACCTATTCAGAAAAACTAATATCTACTTTAGTCTTTTCAAACGAGGAAAACATTGTAATGTTCCCCTAGCATTTTCAAGAAGGAGGTATTCGCCGTTTTACAGCCACGCTGTTTGTTTACACTCCCCCACCAGCTTTCTGTCGTCATAGTCAGTTGCGTTCATTGGTCAGAGCGTTGGCCAATAGGCACAGACATGGTTTGAAAAACAACAGGTTGTTCTCATCCACAATCTTCTGATGTCTCATTCATCGCGGCCAGACTATATTACACATTTAATCTCACATTTAATCTGGTTTATCAGGCTACCCAAACAGAGGGCAGAGCCCTGACAGGTAGGACCTGTGCATTATCCCATGGGGTTCTTCCTCATTATATTTCTGTCTCTCATTACTTAATAAATAAGTTTTTGTATGAGTGTGATGTGGTTTTTTTAATATGCTGTTATCACACATCAATGTCTCTCATTGATATTAATTACTTATAAATACCTGATTAAGAAGTCTGTGTAAGGCTGCTAATGTGAGGACGGATACATTTGTTGATGTATGTGATGTATTGTGGAGTGAAACTGTAACGCTCATAAGGATAACTGACTATGAAAAGAAATCTATACACATTCTGAAAAGCTTCCCCTTCTAAATATTTAATTCTCTGTGAATTATTGCTGCTCATTCTTTAACTAGATCCTCTTTAAAAGGCCGTGCTATTTGTTTATAGCACCTTATGTCTCTAAAGGACCTTGTGAATGATTTGCTTGTTGTTCACAAAAATCGATGACAGAACTCTCCTAATTAAATCAAGAGATATAAATGAATGATTAGCTTTATTAAGGAAAACCAGCTGTGTGAAATGGGGCTCTGACCATTTACCAACGCAATACATAAATGCTGTCATTAAAGTGCTGGCAGTAAGGAAGGAGGTCTGATTCTCCTTTGGGCGATGCTGGTCTCATTACCATTCCAAAACCAACTTCTTAGCTGACGTGTCCCAGTATGTTTGATGGTGTTAATGGTCAGACTGGAGACTGTCAATAAAACATCTGAAAACCAAAACATTCCAGCTTCTTCATTGTGTCACTAAAGCAGTACAGCAGCGCCATCTTAAGGTAGTTTCTATCATTTCCAGTCCAATGTGTTCTTAAATTCAGCTCAACTGGATAGAATGCCCCCCTCCTCAATGCCTGAGGTTTGAAGGAGTTTCTTCAATAAATAAAAAATCTCCGAACTGGCCAGTGCCTTTATAGATACAGTGTGATAGAACCACTTAAAAATGGTCAATGATGTTTAGAAATGTTTCAATAATTATTCTCATATTTGAGAATAAAACAGGTTTAAATCTCTTTGGAGTTCTTCTGATATTTAGACCACATGTCCCAGCTGTACCTGAATGCAGAATGAAAGGCTATTCGGAAACTTTACTGATCGAATGCTTCCTTTCATTGCTGCTTGCTAATAATTTGTTTCTAGGTTTCTCTATTGTGTCTCTGAAGCATAACAGCACCATAATTTACCATCATTTTCAGTCCAATCAGCAGCAGCAGTCTGATCTGTGGGCTGCAGGGGCTGATGGGAGCTTTGAGGAGCTGTTAGAAACCACGTGGCCCTCGTCTGATCTAGCAGCTCGTCCTTGTTTGGCCTCAGCTGCATCAGAGCGCCACTTCTCCCCAGGTTCACCAGAGGAAACACCACTGCACAAAATGCTTTTCCTCCCAGCTGCTGCTCTGTGCTGTCTGTGTTCAGGTGAGTGTTTCCAGCCAATCAGGAGCCAACAAAGTCCACCTGGAACAAACACTGTCCCACTAACCTTCATCTGTCTGTCTGTGTCTCTACAGCGCTGGCTGCCATGGCAACACAGCTGAGTCAGGAGGATTTAACTCCTGACTCAGCTGAAGCGTCTCCTTCAGCTGTGGAGATACTAAACAATGTGGTGATAATGTGAGGTCATGGTACCACAGAAAAAGAAGCAGAAACATTTAGAGTGATTATTTGGGTTTTTGTTAACATTGGAGAAATTAGAAAAAGTTCTGACCATCCTCAGATAAAAGATTTTTAATCCTCTGTAACCGAGTTAGCTGTGAGTTGAGGAATAAATAGACTTAAACTGGATCATTCAGCCTCCTACTACTGCGGCTCTTATAAGTCTGGTTTCCACAGTGAGAAATGATCCCTGCAGCCTGAACAAAAACCTGCAGACGACTTTGGATTGTATGATGCTCACAATGTGCTTACATATGAAATAGGGCAATGATACAGTAATAAAAAAGAATACGATACATTAATAAAGACCATATATTGCAACATTAGTAATAATTTAACTCTACGGAACCATAAGAGATTTTCTTGTTCCTCTGCTGTGGCTGCTACAGAGCAGCTGAATATTAGGCCCTTGGATGGTGTGCTGCCAACTAGCACCTGGGTGTTTAAGAGCTATAAAAAAGGAAGAATTATATAAAAGCAATTCAGTAAGATGCATGGATGTTTGCATATACGTGCTTTTTACATTTAAGATCTGATTCTGCTTTATAATTTGAATCAATACTAATATTATTAATTCAAACATCAAAATGCTTGTATTTTATCTAATTAAATATTGTGATGGATGAGAGAATTTTCTTTTTCTTGCATCCCTAGGATATAGTGAATCCCAGAAACCTGATTTCCTCTGCAAACCCAAAAGTGTTGAGCATGGTGACGGGCAGCAGTGGGGAAGGTGGTCCTCTTAAAGTCCATAATCATCTCTGATTTTGAGCATTTTAAGCCTCTGGCTGTTCTTTCCACACCAGAAACTCAACTGATCAACCTAAAGTCCGCAGGCTGACCCATCAATACTCCAGATGAGGCCAATATCCACTGTGTTATCAGAAAAACAGCTGTTGGGTCTCCTGAGATGCAAGGCATGCCCATAAAAGTTTATTTATGTGAAAGTATGGCGCTGTCACTACGCTTCTATTGATCATGCACCCTGGCTTCTTGGCCCCTTGGCTGACTTTGCATGACTTTTACATTCAATCCTGCCCAGGCCCTCTGTTGCATAGTTTGCCACATTAATATAGATTAATTCAGTACAAAGACAACTCAAAGTGCTTCATATGAATTAAACAATAAAATAGAAGCAATATATCAAAGCAAGTAAAGATAAGAACATAATAAGAGCAGGCAGTAAAAGCAATAAAACAGCTGGATGACAAACTTCAAGTACTTCATTTAGCAGTGTAACTTTAGCAGTTAAAGGCAGCTCTAAACAACTGGGTTTTTAACTTTGACTTAAATGCTGCTTCTCCATGTTTGGTTCTAGTTCTGGGTGGAGATAGTAGACAGGAACAAGAAAACCTGAGGTGTCTGGAAGGTTGATACACTGACAGCCAGTGATGGGACTAACGCCGTTGAAAGTAACGGCGTTACTAACGCCGTTACCTTGTTTTAGTAACGAGTAATCTAACTAATTACTTTGACTGTAACTATAACGCAGTTACCATTGCAGACACCCCGTTACTGCGCGTTACTCAGGTCGCACAATGAACCTTTTTTCATGGTAGGACTCGTGCGCAGCTGCGTGGAGCTGACACCCCACCCACGTCAAAAAACTCTGCAAATAGACTGAATGGTTAGTGCAACGTTAGTGCAGATTTGTGCAGAAAAAAATATTGTTTGTGCTACTTTTGTTTAAGAGATATTAAAGATTATTTTTTAGGTCATCCAGAGGTGCGCGCCTTGTCATGAGAGAGGGGAG